TACTTCCACTTTACGCCGGTCTTCTCCGAGGCTGCTGCGTGGCCCTACCACCGTAAAAGGTGGTACGGGGATAGTGTTAACACTGTTATACGCAAATATAGATATCACTAAAATGGTCTAGGTAGTACTGGGATAGTACAGCTTGTTTTTCTATTTACTTTGGCAAAATTTTAAACGTTATGTAAAAAAAAAGTAATTTATAGTGATAGACTTATCGACAAGACAACACATTGGATTAATAGAATACATAAAAACAAAAAAAACACACTACAAAAAAGAACATAACAATTGGTACAAAAAGAACATCACATTGTTGTTTATCATACCAAAACATTTTATGTCGTATATTTCTAAGTCATTCAGAGAGTTGCAAGATTTCCCTTTCGTAAAATTCATTATTGTCACTAAAATAAAAATGAAAAATTTAAGTGAAAAAATTATGACGTGTATAGTTTTATTAGGATTTATATATATATATATGTGTATATTCGATGACTCCGTGCAGCCAAGGTATTGGCTTCGGCGTCGGGGTCGTGAGTTCGATTCCCACACGGGGCATATATATAATCTTAAATTTAAATGAATTTTTAGCATATTTAAAACTTAATAATTGTGAAAAAAAAAAAGATAAAAAGTAATATTTATACCACGTAGTTCTTCTTCGTGATATTAATTTTACTTCTTAAAGAAAAAGATCGTTTAAAGTTAAAGATAACGATCGTCTAGTGACTGATATCGGACCTCGGATCCCAGTGGCGTGCAACACGAAGTTGTCCACTTTTCCAATTACTAACTTGCAAACATATCTGCCGTGCATTTGTACCCAATTTAAGACGAAAGGCTAATCAGCTGTCACGTCTGGGGCTGCACAAAACGAGTGTAATGCATGATGTAGTGTAATGTAAATTTGACCAGTTCAACTCATGGTAACTTGACGCATCAATTAAAAATCTCCACTAGTCATTCGACGGCAATGCAAGTGTCTCAGGCGTTGATTAAAACAGGAAATTGCTCGTTAAACGTCAACTCACATCGGTTAGTTAGTACCAAGATGTTAAAATCAAATTAATAAGATGCTACGGGGAGTTTTAAAATTGTTTTATGACATATTTATTAGACACACTGAAACTCGCATAACTTTACTGAAAATTAAATATGTACCTAACATGTATTTCACACTTGGTGGTCAGTTCGAGAAAGTCCTGAGGCAATCTACGCAAGAAACATACATTTTTATTCGACGAGAAATTAATTACTTCGTATCTAGTTTTTAAAAAACATAAATCCTTAATTTATGCATCGTTTTACGTATTTATAAACGCTAGTTCATCAACCTCGCTAGAAGTTTTACATACGGAAGAGTTTGTTTTTAAATACTCAAACGTGTTCATATAAAAAAGAACAGTAAAGATAGCAACACGACACGGTAATCTGTTAACGAAATTCCTAACCTAACAAATCAATGGCGTAATTTTTTCCCGCCGAAACGTGATGTAAGCGCGGTCGACGCCCTCCACACCTGTTGCTTTTTTTTTTTCTCTAAATCACGCCCGTCACTGGACACAGCACTCACTTTTTATTGCGGCTCTTAGTTGCTTATTGATTTATTATTGGTGCTGATGCGTTCCATCGCCGTAGACATACGCTATGATTAAAATGTGTTTGCTTTAAATGAATTTGGAATGGAGATGAATAAGCTTTAAATACTTACAGGCTATCTCTATCCATGACGGAGAGTATTAAAAAAGAAAATATTCCAATTTTGCACGTCAATTTTGCAGGACACAAAGAGATCCAACTTAATAAAACTTAAAAGGTAGTATATAATATACCACAATAAAATATACCAAAGTGCATGCATATTACGCATGTCGCGTAATTGTAAGAAGCCTCAAAAATCTGATATCTCTTAATATAGAACTGATTCAATTATGCATATTAATACGTTTTATAAGAATTATTGTGTGTTCAAAGCTATCCTAAGAGACTGCGTCGCCTGTTGCAAGAGATGGAAAAAATTGTAAATATACTAGTCTGCTAGATTCAATAAATAGATTTTAATGCACTGACGAAATATTTGGCACAAAGGCATTATGAATTTCTAAAATGTTTAATTTTCCCATTATTCAACACCTGAAATTCACTTACTTACTTACTGTTCAATAAACTTTATGTATTTTGGATTCGAACTGGGTATACTGGACACGCTTACAAATTATATTCATTTATTTATTAATCAAATAAATATGCTTACAGAGCTATTTTCGCCAAACTCTTACGTTTGATGGCGAAACACGCTCGTTTGTATTAATTAATATAATATTTCCATAATTTCTTCTAAGCATACTACTAATTTATTTATATAAATATTATACATATTTACTAGGTATTTCTATATACTATAAATATAACCAACACAGGCACTATTTATTAATTTAAGGATGAAAGTATGATATACTTCTGTTTTAAATTATACAGACGTGAGATATGTGTATCTAACTGTTCTTACAATTATAGGTAACCACATCATGCATTATAATTTGTTAATAAAAATCAAATTCAATAATTACAGTTTTAAAAAACTGATTTAACAAAATTTAAAATAAAAAAACAGATTATTTTTTTAATGTGAGAAATTGTAAAGTAAGCTGGCGGTACACTTGACGTTGACACTTACACTTTACGCCGGTCTTCTGTGAAGTCGTGGTACTTACCGGACCTGCCCATTCGTGCAGTAAATTAAACAATTTAAATAAGTAAAAATGTAAGATAAGTTACAATGCTAACAAAAACCTTTGATAATAATAACACAAAACGTGATACAGCCATGCGGCACCTTCTATCGTATCACCTAAACGCTTCCGTCAGGGAAGCGGGCATGGAGAAGAATTACGAGGATTAGAATCACTCCTTCAAAGACTGATCGCAAGAACTGATCGCAACGACTCTGACGTTAGAACATAACAAACTAACGGCGTTAGGGCCACGCAGCAGCCTCGGCTGTTGCACGAATGGGCTGGCTCGTCCGGGTCAGTACCACGACCTCACAGAAGCCCGGCGTAAAGTGGGAGTATGATACTTTCGCGTTTCGTCTGGTGAGTGAGGTGGCCGGAGCCCAATTTTCAAAAGGTTGTCAACGCATCTACAACCCTCGGGTGTAGCGGATGTCCATGGGCGGCGGTATTCACTTAACATCAGGTGAACCGTCTGCTCGCGTGGTCACTGACCATAAGGTGCTAGTCCGGTCATCAACAAAATTATTTAAAAACTACAGACGTTATAGTACTGTGAGAATAATTCGTAGTTCCACTCGCCGTTCTCGTGTGCAATCGGGCAGTCGAATCTCCTAGACGATGCACCGCCACGGGACCCGGGAGTTTGCTTTTACGACTTTTTAAGTGGCCATTATGACGGAGAAAGGCCGAACTTAATGTCTTTATGCCGGGACGCTAGCTCGCTCCGAGCGCCCGTGCCTCGTTCAGACCACTCGCCCTACGTCGTTTAAGTCATGTTTAAGTATTGTTCAAGTTAACATTATTAAGTTATATTTACGGATTAATCGCGTTCATTTCTATTTTTTTTTTTAATTTAAAATTAAAATTCGTTCTTCTGATAAAAATAATTGCTGTAAACGTTGAAATTGGTACCTCTACTACTACTGCACTTTTCAGTGTTGAATATAATATGCAGTTATTATATATGTTGAGACTTTATATAAAAAAGTAAAGTCAAATCAGCCTATACATGTCCCACTGGTGGGTAAAGGCCTCCTCTGTACAGGCGGAGTCCTCTTTGGCGGACTTCACATATCTTCGAAATATTTTTTTTTGTTATTATTTCAAAAATATGCAGGTGTCCTCACGATGTTTTCCTTCACCGCTGAGCAAGTGATAATGCAGCACTTAAAATTGACAATTTCATTGGTGCTAGCACCAGGGATCGAACTCAGGTTGCTCGGGTATATTAAATTAAAGGTGAGCGCCCAGACAGTGAGTTATCACGGCTCATATAAAGACTTTATATAAATTAATATAATTTAAGAGTTTATTTTCAAGTCACTGTGAGTTTAATGTTAAGTAAACAACCTGCGCACTATAATTCGAATAATTGTCGTATATTAGTTTTAATTAAAACTGGCAAACAAAAGAAATCCACTAAACGATATCCAAATGATTAGGCTACTGAACTAAACTACTGACATAGTATATTTAAGTCGATCTGAACGCGCCCTAAAACGGCCCGAGTATGAAATATCACATAAAAGACGCGGTGACATCAAATTCTACGGTCTCCTCGAATGATGTTTTGTAACACGATATCCTTCATTATATTACCATGTCAGCTCCTCTCTGAGGCTCCCGCGAGTATCAGTCACGTCCACCCGGCCGTTATGGTTGTTAGTGGAAGAACGGAAGTTCTAATCTGATCGTTACATTAGTCTAAATCCCTTTTCATGTGTGATGAAACTAATAAATGAAACTATTTGTTTCTTTTTATATTTTTTTTCTTATGCGACCAAGGAGTTTCAGATGATATTTAGTGATTTCCATCGCCCATAGATTTCTACAACACCTTTGGAGTGCGTTATCGTCCTTTTTAAGGAGAGTCATCTCACTCAATCGCGCAAAGCAAACAATCGCGACGCGACCCGCTTATCCAACCTAAGAAATTATCTAAAAAATATATATGTGTAAAGTACAAGTCTAAGTGATTCTTGAAGTCTGCAGTGAGGTCTTTGGGGCACTGGTATATGATGTCTAGTCTGAGTTTTTTTTATCACTCGAATCCTTCAGCCGCTACAGGGTAGACAGATATAGCCGATTCTATTTACGTTTCACCAAACTTATTCAGTGCTCAAACGAGTTAGGCAGTGAGCTCTCCTTCTGTCCACCAGGTGAAAGTTACAGGCAACGATATTTTCACGGTCTAATATACAGGACTCCAAACACGTGACATTTTTAAGGTGGTAGGGCCACGCAGCTGCCTCGGCTGTTGCACGAATGGGCAGGTCCGTCCGGGTAAGTACCACGACCTCACAGAAGACCAGCGTAAAGTGGAAGTATAATACTTTCGCGTTTCGTCTGGTGAGTGAGGTGGCCGGAGCCCAATTTTCAAAAGGTCAATTGACAACCCTCTGGTGTGGCAGATGTCCATGGGCGGCGGTATTCACTTAACATCACGTGAACCGTCTGCTCGTTTGACAACTTTTCGCATAAAAAAAAATAATAAGACCGCGGGCGGACGTCCCATCCATTGGGCCGTCACTGACTCTTCGTTTCCGATATCGTTAATTACAATTCAAAAATGTATTACAGACAACTATGTTTGTTTGTTTAACATCTAATTCTTTAGTAGATAGGGCTAACAAAAGCTTTCTGATTGTGGAACATGTTCTACCCAGGTCTATATATCTGTGGCTGAAGACGGGACGCCGGCACAGCGAGGTCCTGGATGAGCAGAAACTAAGCGAGGGTCAGCTGCGCCGGCCCGGGGCCACGATCATACTGTGGCTGAAGTGTGAACAGGTTAGTCGTCAGCCATTTTAAGGAGTTGGAGGCCCACTATTAGGGGAAAAGCCCATGGGGTTGGACCAATGTCAACTCTAGCGTTTGGTGTCCATGTTTCTTTTTTTTATTTAAAGTGAAAAGTCCTTAAGCGAGCAGGTGGGTCACCTGATGTTTATGAAAACCACAACCCATAGGTCTACAACACCCGAGGGCTGCAGATGGATTGACAACCTTCAAAAGCGTAGGGCCTGCCCTCCCGGTAACCTCACTCACCAAACGAAATGCAGAAGTAGTATAACCCTTCCACTTCCTTCCTATATATAACACTTCCACGGCTTCTGTGAGGTCGTGGTTCTTCCCCGAGCGGACCTGCCCATACGTGCGACATAATTCTAAAAGATGATTAGAAGTAAGTCCTGACACGCTTACTCAATTTCGATGATAAAAACACACCCTTGTCGCCGATAATAAGATGTACGATGTGATAATTTGCTTTGAAATCTTAGTATTGACCATTTTTAGGGTTCCGTACCCAAAGGCCAAATTAAAAGCGAACCTTTTTAAAAAAGCAATTGTAAAAGGTATTAGAATTACATTTGTTTCAGTGACAAAGTGTGGTCCTTTGGTTCGACGTTAAGACAGACGTGGTAGCTCAGTGGGTGCTTTTAATTAAATATACTTGAGCTATCTAAATTAAAACCCGAGTCTCGGCACCAATGAAACAGTTAAATGCAATTTCAAGTACTGAATTTTCTCGTGCTCAGCGGCAAGGGACACCTGAAATTTTCGAAATATGTAAATAAAAAAGATTGCTTCGAAGACTTGTATGTTCTGCCAATCCCTAGAGGAGTCGCTTGGAGGACTACGACCTAATACCATCTATAGAGAGGAGGCCTTTGTTCATCATTGGAACATATATATACTATTACTTTTAACTGTCATTACAGAAACTGTAATTTTCTGACCTTCTATTTAAAATATATTTCGCGGGTGTTAGATCGCCGTATTCCACACTATTCGCTTCAAAACACACAGCGGTAAAAAGTTTTAATCGCTCGAGGGGCCCGAAAAAGTGCCAAGTCACGAGCAAGCCATCTCTCGCCGATATATTATATGTATTTAAACAGGAATATTATAAAGTTTAGTACGCTCTTCGCATGTCTGTCGACGCTGACATATCTTAGTCTAAACTGTGCCCTGAAATGTAGTGCACTAAACTTTTTACTTATAAATATATATATACCTGTTTAAATAAAATGATATTTTCCGTATGACATTCCCCACATATTTATCTATTTTTCTAGTATAAATTGAGACAAGGAATACACATAAACAACTCCCTATCACGAGGTTTCAGTCCGGCACAGTTGTTTAAAATGTATTTATTAAGATAGTAACGTAAAGGAAGCCAAATAGATTTAATTTTAATTACTCGGATAACTTTCATTTGTTTATTTCACCTACTACGATAGGAAGACTATGCCGTTAAAATTTAGGACTAAACGGCATTAATTCTACCAACCGCACCTGCATAAAGGTCCCTTAGCGTCGCGAGAAGGGAAAATAGCCGCCATTGTTACCCGGTCAGCCATTTTTTCTCAAACAACATGGAACAGGTACAAAATCCTCGGGCCTATATAGCTCAGCAGATGCGTTTTCCCGCCACCTGCCAATCTCGGCGCGCGCAGGTGGCGTTTGTTTACGTTTTTTTTTTCACAACTCCCAATGCAAGGCGGCCTGTGTGTTTGACCGCACTTAATATTACATTATCTGTGCTCGATTAATTGGGTCGGCTGGGCCCATTTTTATGTGCCCCTTTATCGGAACCGTTGGCAATAATTAATGGAGGGAATCTTTTTAGAGACATCGTTAAATGATTTCCTTTATGGAAAATACACAATGCATTACCCTAATTTTGTATGTTTTTTGTGATTTAAAATAAACAACACCTACTATTATTAAGGCAATAATTAAACCAACATGAAATTCTTACTATTTCTCGTGTTAATTACCCAATATAAATTTAAGTATTTTACACACAATGAATAAATAGTGAAGAAAAATAAATTTCCTTACATTATTGGTTTCTTGACAGTTCTTGTTAGTAAGTTACAACTATTAATAATGACCCTTTCTATTTGGCGCCAATTTTCTTGTTGTTATAAAGTGAACGTACACAAACAAATATTTTGATCAGTTTGTCAGTTTTTTGTTGGCTATCGGGGGAATATAACAAATTGAGCCGAGTGTTTTTTTTTTCTCATACGGAATGAATTCTCTGCAAAATTGTGATACTCCTGACGGTGAGTAATTTTCAACAATTTGTTTATGCTTAAAAAGCTCTACGCTTTTATGAATATATATCATAATTTTAAATCGAAAACCCTGAGTCCGCAAATGATCACGCAGCGTTAGAACGGAAACAAAACAAATATATACAAGAGCCAACCCTGAGACGCAGCGTTAGAATGAAAACAAAACAAATATAGACAAGAGCCAACCCTGAGTCCGCAAATTAGCAGCGTTAGCGATAGTACCAAACCATACAGATGCGGTGTTGAGCGTAATCCAACTATTTATTCGGACAGGTGCGCCCGTTCAGAAATAGCGCAGTTGAGAAAAAAGGTAGACAGCGCTGTAAATGCTACGCGCACTTCGATACTTCATCTGTTTTTAACGATCGGCGTACGATGGCGGCACGGCGCAACGGTGAGGAACCGGTAGGCGCGAATGTTTGCCTTCAGAGCTGACGAATGCATATTTGCAGTAATATAGCCAGTACTTATACGTCCCGTTGCTGAGCACAAACGGCATACCTTTCTTTATACAGGAAATGCTCTAACAGACTTCATATATGTCCAGAATTTTTCTATTACTTTAATTAATTCCTAGCTATACAGATATCCCCACGACGTTATATCCATCAACGAAAAAGTGAGAATCGGCAATTTACATATCGATTAAAGATTTCGATGGCCGAAACCGGGATTTGAACTGTCATTACTCGCGTATAGTGAAGTAAAAGCGAACACCCGGACGGAAACTGAGCATCCACCAAACCAAATACATACACTAGGCAATAAAAGGCATGCTTCCCACCGCATCAAGGACAAATACACATTAAAAATCTAATAGAAACATGCTCGATGTTCTACTGGCTGGTTTGGTTTTATCTGCACCTGTAATGTAGTGTGTAACAAAAGACTGACGTGAATTGTTCAGCCTACTTTTTACGAGCATCTTTTCGTGCGCTTTTTGTCCTTAACACGTGGCTTTACAGGTGCTTTTCGTGTATCCAATACATTTGGGTAAATGAAGTAAAGTAAGGTAACAGCCTATACAAGTCGTACTGCCGGGCAAAGGCCTCCTTTCGTCGGTCTTCTGTAGCACTTCCCAGGTGGAGCTGGTTGCAAAATCCATCGTCTTTGGTTAACGAAAGTTGCGCTTACCGTACCGGTAACGCATCTCCATCCCCTCAATGCCCATGGGAGACGCTTACTGAGCTAGCGCGCCTACCATCAAAGGCTGCATCGCCACTTACCTTCACGTGGGATGGCAGTCAAGTGCTGGCCAATATAAAATTAAAAAAAAATTACTAACATAAAGTTATCCATCAAATATCCACGAATTAGATTGAGTAGAAGCTACGGCTAGGCTTACGGGGTTTATGTAATTGTAATATTTACACTATTTTCGTAATCAAACTATACTTAAATGTAAAATTGAAGATAAAGTTTAGTAAACAATTTAGTAATTACCAATGATTATTAACGAGTACAGAGTCCAGAGTTGTTTGTTTACTTTTCTCATAGTATTGTTTACATTGTTCTAATTTATAAGGTCCTCCACCCCCATGTAATAGTTAGTTCGGTAAGTAAGTTCGACACGACAGTTACACCCAGTTCCGAAAGCGCAATCAATTTTAATTTACGATAAATCTCTTGTCAATCGTTGTTTAACATGATCTGAGTTGCTAGAACGTCTTAAACAACATTGATTTTGATTTGCAATTAGTCACTGATTAACGGACAATCAACAGAAAATCGAGTTTCTGAAAGCGTTTTTCGGTGGTCAACGAGCTGTCAAAAGTTTTATTAAGTAATCTGTCAATTTGGACGATCAATCGTTGTTTAAAAATGTATTTTATCAAAAATCTTAGTTTTTATTAGAAATAAACATAATTCCCTAATACGTTGTTAGGACATTCATGTGTTCTATTACCTATTTATTATTTATTATTATGCGAACATATCATGTGATTAGAAAAAATACAAAATGAAATTCAAAAGTTAACTAATAATATGGATTCTTTCTTTTTATAATACTTACTTGTTTATTATGGATAAAAGTTCATTTTTTACACGTTCTGTAAAGTTTTTTTTTTTTTTTGACATTTTGCATGTATTTATATAAATTAAATTTTATTATAGCTCGAATTTTTACGTTGGCAATCACACGGTGACAGGACTGGATAGTGACGTTAATTTAAGTTTTGTTTAAAAAGGGACAGCTATACAATAGAAAGAGTTAGTTGAAGTGAATCATTCATTTCATTCATTATCATTGGCTGTACAGTGATTAGCTAATTTTTCTTGAACAAACCTTCCAGAAACCCAAGGCAGTTTAACAAGAGATTAACAGCTGATCATTTTTGACATAGTGTTATGTGATTGCTGCTTTGATTGGCCTTTCGGAAACTGGGCATTAGTCCGGTACGACAGTCCGTTACGATTGTTGAGTCGGTCGATCACATCATGTCCTAGTAGTCGTATAGTCTGCTGTAATAAATAAATGTACTTCGATATATCGTCACGCTGCTGGTTGTCATTTAAAAACCCCTTCCGACCACCTGAACATTACATAATACTAAGCACTTCTTGTTTGCTATTGATTGAGTTAATGAGCTATTATAATTGCTACAGTATAGTTCTATCGCGCCAAGTCGACAAAAGGAACTAATAAATTCTACAAGTGCTTGTAGAATTTATTAGTTCCTTTTGTCATATTTTATTTCATTC